GTCAGCTGAACATCAAATTTACCCATATTGATTTGCGGTGTCTTTGCTGATATTACACATGACAACTTGTGGTCACATTGCACACATTTCTCAATGATGTCAATCAATGTTCATTGGCAGTGTACAACGCCACCATGATGTGCCAATTTGCGGTTCACAATACGACTTTAAAGACCAAAATCCACCAACACAACATGTAGTTCATATTACTTTTTCATGTAATACCTGTTACAAGACAACCACATTCTCTGCTTAGATATTAAAACCAGCCGTTTTTCATTTTTGCCCGACGGGCCAACGTATCGTAATTAAACTGAACAGCTGGACAGGATATGAAATTACTTTAGAATCAATTTATTACAAATGACAATTTCTACCTTGGAGAAGTGTTGCAAGAAGTTCTACGGCAAAACCAGAGGCTGGTATGTCTTGCTTGTATATATTTCATTATGTAGTATAAAAATATAAAAAAATGTACGGTCAAAATTTCTAGACAAAATTAATTTACTTTGCGATGTTCCTGGGCACGAGTCATTTGGTTTTTTAACTGATCAGTGTGATTTGACTGTAATATCATGAGTCATGATACTGTCTGAATCTGATGTTTTTGTTTTTATCAGCAAGTATAACCTAAAAAACGTCTTTATCAAACCGTGAATACCCGACGTGAACACACCATAATCTGAAATKAAGCAATAAGAATTAATTCGGGCATCAGAACAATAGCACTAGATTCTGCAAGAGCAAGTCATAGGAGAAGAGCAATGTCTTTCCCATCAATGAGGCGTATTCCATATTTGCAATGCATTCGTTTTCKAGGCTTTTTTTTCATTAATTCTTGGTAGAGTCCTAGAAAGTGATGTCCACCATTAGCACATTATTACAGAACCCACATCATACCGTATTTGAGTAGAGCACTGGAATTCCCAATGGTGTGGTGAGGGTTCAGTTCTTCAAGGATTTGGAGCCATAAGCTGTTGTTTCCCTCACCACTCTACATATACTAGTGATGAAATAAATTGAAAAAGTCTCGTAAAAAATTGATATTGAATACCCTCAGTACATTTTGGTMTCGCATTGTGCATTTTTCCGACAACCATTTTCAACTGCGATTCAACTCATCATAAGTATCACGTGACCCTTGTTTGTAATGTCCCAGTTATTGTAAGAACAAATTGACTTTATGCTTTGTGCCTTTTTCAAATCTAAATCTAGTTTACTAGCGGTACTTGCATTGGGAGTGTGTARTGTACAATGAACGTCACGTACGCGCGGGCGGGATGCGTTCCGTTACCTTCAGTGCATTCTTGAAATTTCTAAAGTCAAAAGCCGTCTAAATTGTTCATATATTTAACATTTTATTGCCTTATAATCCTCAAATTGCAATTGTTATTGGTTAAAAGGAAAGTAAGTCGAGGATTAGAGATWAATACCAGTATATTGTCGGGGACGCATTAATAGCAGGAAGGGTCCCCTAATCTTGTTTATTATACATTTAATTATACGCGCACCAATCTTTTTAGTTGTACTAAAACGCCCCTTGTAATTTTCTCTCTTTCAATTACCATATAAACTGGGGGACGAATTTAAAGATCTCTTTTGCATCATCAACGATCTACCGATACATTCAATTGAAACTCGCGAGTCTCACTCAAGACAATTCAGGTAAGAACAAAACTACTCTTTTCAAAATTTATTATATCGAAATTTGTCACTATTGTTTCGACACTTAAACYGCACAAAAAGCCAATTCTCGTCGCATTTAAAGTATTCTTCTTCTGTCGCTTTGTGTATTATCAAAATCATTTCATGTTGTGAGTAGACAGTGGTGGCTGTATCATCCTGTAATCAAGTAACCCATTAAGTTCACTACAYTAATGACGTGTTGTTCGAAGAATGTGAGCGAATCTTTGTAAACTAATTCAAAAAGAATAATCAGTCAATAAGGTAAAATTGTTGTAGAGGAATTGATAAGGTCGAATAGACGAAACTAGTTTTCCTCAAACATTGTGATTTCTGTGTGTCAAAGGAGGGGTAAAAGTTGAAATTATTTTGACGTCCTACAATATGAAGATGAAGAAAGGGTTTTTTAATTAGAAACAGTAAAAAATTGTTATGCAACGAAAAATCGTAAATGAAAATGTCCGACGACAACGAAAAATGTTTTTTTCAAAAGCTTCAGTTTGAATTTATATTTGATGATTTTTTGATTTCAATATGGAAATTATTACAAGAAAACGATTTTTGAGTAATGAYATTGTGCCTTTAGGGCAACACAACTCCGCGCCTGGCTGCCATTTTACCTTCTTAACAAAAACATCGCAGACTTTTGCGGTTACAACTTTCTTAAGACAAAGGTGAATTAAAGTGGATTGTGGATTTTATTTCAAAAACTTATCTTAAGTAATTTAAGATAGCAAAATTGTATTTTGAGTTTTTGGTTAATTTGAAGAGTGTAGGCACAGATGAAAAGTCTCTTGGCCCTGATGAGTGATTCTTACTGATAATGAGAAGTATTCCCATAGGGGTCGCGCTACGTACCAGACACTACACCCACCCAAACACCTTTTTAGCAGCCTCAACCGAGACYGATRTACTTCACTGAAAGCGACAAAACCTTTTAGTGAATTGTAATACTTTGTGAAAAGATATAAGAACCGTGTCAWCATTGATTGAATTTACGATACATCRTCCAAATCAAATCTGAAATTTTCGGGTGTTCTCTGTTGTAATTATTTTCTAATTAAAAGTTTAAGAGTCAAGCAGTGAAGCTCAGTGCGCCTCTGGTTATATTTAACATTATTACTCGTAATGCGAATTCACCGGCATAAGTAACAAATCCGTTGAGATTTCGCTKGAATTCCACTCGTTTTACAGTACTTAAAGTGCATGACATACATACACTCGTGATACGCTATTTATAGCTATCGAGCTACAGAAGGCCCAGATTACACACAGTTTTTTTCTTTTGGTAGTAGCGATTTTTATGTGTTGTTCGGCATTTCGCTCGCAATGCACAATGGGATTTTTCGTACCAACACGGAATAGTTTTTTATTTCTTTCAACCTGATTCTTYAGAGACATTGTTGAGGTCAACTTTTCGATGTATTTTAGACGCTTGTAYATGGACACCAACAACAGCAATAACAATAACAAAGATAAACATGCCTTGAAGCAAGTGAGGCTTTTGGATCGGGACTTATACAGATATTATCACACTGTTGCACTCCAACATTTTAACACTGTACATACATTGTACAATTATTAGGTAACACCTATTTCACGCACCCATCCCGTCATATGATAGGCTCAGCTCAATAGGACCCATGAAAGATCSKKG